TTTCTTTGCAATGAGATAGTATATACCTTTCTTTCCTCTTCTTGTTTGTGCTTAAGAACTTCCAAAGGCCACTCAGATACAAGTTTTTGAAGTTCATCCTTCATGCCTGATTTTTTGGCATCAGACAGAGTCTAGCAACAATGAAATCAATAAAAAAAGGGTTAATAAAAAAGAATATACAAAGACAGATAAGATAATCCACTCAGTTTGCAAACAGTCCTTCGTATCATAAGGAAAAAAAATTAGTTCTAGCAGGGCTATTTTTGTTTAACAGGGGTGTAATAAGAAGAAATATTCAATTTATAACAGAGAAAAAAAATAAACAGCATACACTACCTGATTTAGAACTTGAATGATGGCAACAGCATCACTAGGCTTACGTTCCAACAGAAGACCCTAGAAAATCATAGCAACTGGCTTAGACTTGCTATAAAAGTGGAACTTCTCTACAACAGAATCCAGCAAATGGAAGTCAAAACATGTATCAGCATTGGGAGCTTATATGATGGAAATCAAGACGCTTTGATTTATTTTCCTTGGAAAAAAACTTGAATCATTAAAAAAACAAATTGATGAATACAAACATGTCAAAAAAGCAAAATGATTACGTGAAATATTTGCTCCAGAGTCTATGCAATCTATTAAGCAAAACTCAGACATCACACAATAAGCTACACACAAAGCATATAAGCTTTGGTAACAGCATTATAATCAAAATTAATTGTCGAATCAAACAATGGTGTTGATGGATTTTTTACCTTGGCACATGAAAATCCAGTTGCCAAAGTATGTGGCTTCGATGAATCAGATCGCAACTTTTCTATTTTCCATAATGACTCGGTGTCTCCTGCAAATAAGAAAATGAAAGGCTTAAACAATTAGGTCACCATTAGCAGAAACAACTTTAGAAAGCCTAAAAAATCATTTGTATATTCATATTCATATGATACTACATGTATTCATTGCCATCAAAATTATGAAGAGATTATTATTACAGTTAAAGCAATTCATTCCAAAAGAGATAAGGATAGAGCAAGACAAGAAACATAAGTCAGAAAGAAATCTTTCCCTAGCATAATTCCTCAATCAAAAATGCAAAAGTACAAATGATTTGCCGAAATATAGGACAAATCAAGCACCTCCCTTTTAGGGCCGCCAATAAAACTGTATGCAAAACAGAAGCAGATATTTAAAATTTTCAAACTCTGAATTTAAACTAGGGCTACCAAAACGGCATACATTTGGAGAAAAAATGTGCGAGACTGATCCAAATGCAACACCACCCAGAAAATACAATAATGAACAGTATAATCAAATTTAGGATTCTGATTTTAATGCTATACATGAAATTATATTCCAAATCTTTCCTATGTGACTTTAGTCTCTATTTTGGGTTTCTTCAGTTTCCTAAAAACTGAGAAAAACAGCTTGCCAACATTGGTGAGGATGCAAGTTAAAAGAGAGAGAGAGAGAGAGAGAGAAATCAAAATCCAGTAGATAGTACGCAATTTATTATCTCAATAAATGTATGGATAGCTTATGCTCAATATAGGAATCCACTTAGACAAACAACTGTTAAAACTCAATAGAAGCTCACAAAATTAGGGAGACAGATAACATCAAATCAAAAATAAAACCCGAACTATGTGCACCTCTTTTGGCGGCAAATTTCATCCATGTTTCAAATGAGGTTTGTCGTAATTTTACACCAGCCATGACAAACCTTTTTGCATACTTATTAATCAACTCCCATTCATCTGAATTGTAACAAATGCTGCAAATTATTGACCCGGGTAACAGGTCAGAAGCAAATACAGAAGAGAATGAAAACAGCATAAAAAAAGAAACGTGAGGATCATAATTTATGTTTAGTGTTAGACAATACAAAAATAACCCTTTAGACGCATAAAAAAAAGGGTAGATTCTTCGGCCATTTATTCTGATTTGCTTCACTTTCAGATTCAAAAAGTAGTTCTTTTGGTACCGAATATATGTTATGTTACCATGCTCATATAAGCTTTTTGCAAGCTCCAAAAACCGAGGAAACTAACCGTATTGTAGACTCGAGACCTTACAAACAAGGAGGCACCAAGTTGCCTTCATAAAGTCAAAAAGACTTTTGGGGGACTAGCAAACAAAAGCAGGATTTGAAATGCGTGTATCCCAGCCATCGACAAAGGGAACAACAGTTATACCAATTAAATGTTTTGCAATTTCTTTAAGAGGTAAATGTCATTCAAATTTAGAAAATACTTTTAATAGAAGACTATTTGTATTGCGAAACAAAATATTGAAACTGCTAAAAAAACAACATACCTGAAAACTATATCTGCCGTGCCTGGTTGCAATGGTAAATCATTCCTCTTCAAAAGTTTCATTACTTCCTCCAATAGTTTAGTATCACTGTTCTTCTTAGCAAACAGCTGCAATAAGTTGACAGTAGCTTACCAATTGCAAACAGGAGACAGAATCAAAGAAATTAGGACATATGTATGTCTAACAATACCAATAAATGGTGTGCAGATGCAACACTCGGTGCCAGTCCATAGACATTATGCTTCCACAAAGCCTTCTTTCCTGCTCAGACATTTAAGCCAAATAACCTCAAAATTTCTTTCCATGCCTTCAAATGAAACAGCAGAGATTTATAACAGACAAAATGGATACGCAAATAAAGCATACCAAAATCAAGGGCTCCGGCATGAACACAAGCTTTAGTAACTTCACGACATAGATTGCAGTTAAAATTGTCATGGATGCGAAGGTTTGATAACCTCTGCTCACCAAATAGATTAAATTCATCACCATAGCAAAGAGAGTGAATAAAAAAATAAGTAATTGAAAATAAAGAGGAGAGAGGGGAAGAGAATAGAAACTAACAAATCTGCGGAGGTTCTGCAAAATGTCAAAGAGAAGACAAATATCGTGATGGTGTTTGCAATTAGCAATCATTGACCATAACCAAGCATTTGGAGGCATGGATCGTTTAACATTTACAGACTCAAGCATCTTATCATAAAGATCCTTCACAGCATCTACATTCAAAATTCAACAATACAAATCAATAAACAACAAAAAATTAAATTCAAAAAGGGAATTTCCAGTTCACAAATGAATGAAAAACCTGTTGGAGTCCCCTCAACATTATCGACTCCGGAACTGTATAAAGCCTTTGACGCGGAGAAAATCAATGGTTCAGATTTCACTTGGTGATAATTACATTGTGCAAGCCCTGAGAGAATCGGTTCTTTGGTGCTTCGAAAATGAGACGAAAGAAAAATCTGAGATTGCAAGAGCCGGGAGAGTCGGCGAGCATTTGACACTACTTGCATGGCTGAATGTGAAAAGGGCTACAACTCAGAGATTGTTTGCGGACAAACTCAGTAGATTTGTAATCTGTTTGGATAAACAACTTATTTGAGTGCTTATTGCATAATAAGAGCTTATCGCATGAGAGCATATGTCAAAAGAGCTTATGCTGGATAAGCTATTTGCGTTTGGGAGTGTACATTAGCAAAAGCTTATGCAAAAATAAGTGTTTAGATAAATTGTATTTGTTTCACAAAAACCATAGCTGATGACATAGCAAATCGTACAAAGGTAGGTATAAATAACAGCATGTCTCTTATTAATGATCACAAACAATTAGACAATTGTGATAGAGTAAAAATAACTATGCAGTTTCTTATAATCAATTTGAAAGACAAGAAGCAAGAGGATGCTTTGACATTGGCATATGATGAGTATACTATGTTACTAATCAGTTTATGACAATAAATATTTTCTTGCAAATACACGTTATAAAGAAATAAAAAGAGGGGAACAGGAGAATTTTTTATATACTACATTGCATGTTCTATGCATAGTAGTCATAAAGAATGAAAAGAACATGACAAGATGAGAAAAATTGTGTAGACCTACTTGTTTCAGTCTAACATAGGAATTTTGACAAACCTCAGGGGGTGCTAGTGTCAGTTTAACAAACATCGGGGGAGGTGAGTGTAATTTTCCCTTAATATATTTTAAATTTTTGGAATACTATAACAATATAAAATATATTTGAACAATTTGTCCAAACCATCCAAAACCCTCCTCTAATACAATTTTTTAGTTCCCCCAAATTATGGCGATTTTGGTTTTTGAATAAAAATAAATCCCCCAAAACCCTCATTTAAATCCTTATATTCTTTTTGCTCCATTATTCCCTTTTTTTCAAATCCCTCCCCCCTCTTCCCCTCCAGACTTCCAAACAAAACCTGCTCTCTAATTTTTACTTAAAGTGCAATGATAATGAATTTATACTCTCTCACAGGCACAATTTTTCCAACTTATGTCAGGTAGTAAAACTTTGACAATGTACAGATATAGTGAATCCACCTGAGTTAACAATTAAAAGCAAGACATAACCAGTCCAGAAAATATATGCCACTACAAAATGATAATACAATGTTAATCTATTCCAGTGGACATTAACTTTTACACTATAAAGCATCATATCATTATAAGAAATCAATTTTGCCTTACTATCACGCCCCACCAATCTCACTCTTAACTTGACATCTTGCAATAGTACAGCAACAACAACCAAGCGTTAGCCCATTAAGTGGGGTCGGCTACATGAATCCATTTCCACCATAATATTCTGTTTAGGACTATACTTCTATCCAAATCATTAATTTCGATATCTTTCTTAATAACTTTTCTTTTATCTTTCTTAGTCTTCCTCTTTTTGTCTCCGTTTGATCTACTCTCATTACCACACAATCTAAAGGTCTTGTCTCTACATGCTCAAACCACGTAAGTCTATTTTCCACCGTCTTCTATATTATAGTAGTTCCCCTAACACTCCAAAAATACTAAGCCTCCATACATTACAATTTCATTTACTTAGTAGCAACGCTTAGAAACCAGTGAAAACATTAGCAATACACGAGGTTCTACAAAATCACTCCAAAAACAATCAAGCATTTTATCAAACAGGTTGCGCGCAGAAATGATGAATGTTGATAGATAGTAACAATATGGTTAACAGTGTCAGGCATGAAGGAACGAGAGCAAAAATCACAACAAGAAATCAAAAAACCTGGTTACAGAGCAAAAGAACGAGGACAGGAGTCGCTAGCGTTTCGGGTCGGGTTGGCGAAGCCCCGTGTTTGTTTTGCATACAAGCTCCGTCAAACCTACTTTTATTTATTAAAAGCTTCCTCGTTGTTTGAACTCTTCATTTTGTTTTGTTAAAAATTGATGGTCAATTTTCTCTCTCCAAATTATTTATTATTTATCTATTAAATATAAATACACATTAATAGCCTAAACATTCATACTCATGTTATTGATTTGATTCACATATGAATTGAAATTCACATTCTTAGAAAATTAAAATAATTAATCATATCATAGTAACTTTTCAACTTTGACTCCCATGATGGAAAAGAAATTCTCATTCTTGGAAAATTAAAAAACTTAATCATAGGATTATAACTTTTTTCAGTTTTTTAATAAATTGTACTATCTTTAATATATTAAAACAATTGTATTCTTATTTTACAAATTATCTTTAATATATTAAAACACAATAATCTTTGACACACATAGACATCTATTTTTTATTATAAGTTATTTTTAAAAAAATTATACCAGAGTCATTTTATAATATAAATAAAATATTTATTTTAATAGGCGATGAATTTTTTTATAATATTTATCTTTTTTATATCGTCAATATAAGACAAGTTTATATAAAAAATTATCAAATTTCTTTTCCATATAATATAATAATTATTATTATTATATTATGTAAATTTTCACAATAAATATTTTAATGTTATATTTCCGTTTCAAATACTAAATATTCTAATGCTATATTTTCATTCTAAATCTCAATTTTTTATGTAAATTTGAATGTTATATTTTCATTTCAATTTGACAGTTTTCCTCCCTCTCTAAATTATTTATCATATATAAAAAGACATTAATAGTCTTGAAGAAAAACATACTCATATTGTTGTTTAATTTGATTCACATGATGGAATTGAAATTCTCATTCTTGGAATATTAATATACTTAATCATATTATAGTAACTTTTTAATTATGATTCACATCATGGAATTGAAATTTTTATTCTTGAAAAATTAAAATACTTAATTATATTATTGTAATTTTTTTCCAAGTCTAATGATGAATTTACCTTATATTTTTGTTAATCGTAAAATGTAGCAGTAGAAATGTTGAGATTAAGCTATTGAATTGACTCGACTCGTACAGATCAAATAAAAATTGTCACCGTACTTTATTATTTTCAAAGGAATGGGAAAAGAGCGAATAACCTAAAAAGAGGAGGAGAGAATCTAGGTAACGGGGTTCGTTATGCAAAGGGAATGTATTAACACCCTAAATATCTACGGTACTCCGCAGGAACCTCTTTGTAAATTTGTATATTTTGGCTATAAGAGTTGTATATAAAAAAAATAGACTGTTGAGATGAGAAAAGAAGTATTTTTTACAATTTTTGCACCCGCCGCGGTTGTGAATCTTTAGTGCATACGTACGACCTTTCGTGCAACAGGAGATCAGGGTACTCGTAGTTCACCTTTAAAAAATTTAAAACACAAGTGCGTTGGTTAATTTTAAGAGACGAGACATCATCGTCTTATCTGAGTGGAAGAACATACTTACTACCCACGATTATGAGAAAGGAGAATTTGCATCATCTCAAAGTGGAGGATATAGCCTGGATTTTAAAATCAACAAAAGCTCACTCAACACCCAAGTGGAAAATATCTCACTTCACTATATACCGTAGAAGTACAGTAGCTCGCATCACTACAAGGACTGACAAGAGTCTAATCTTTTTGAGAAAATGTTTTAAGGTAAAGAGCCAAAATGACAAAATGGTTTAAATGAGATTGATTGACTTTTAGTCTTCTAAAAAATATCAAGGTATTATTAAGTTGATTAAAGTTTGATCAAGAAAATATTTTTTGAAAATGCATGGACCTAAGTCTGAGTTTATTATGAAAGTAGTTCAAATTAAAAAATAAGAAGAGTTTTCAAAATGAGGAAGAAGATTTTTGAAATTAAAGAAGGTGGTAGGAGATGAAGGGACTATCCTAAAGCATAAGGTAAAAGCTAGGTGTGATCGGTGGATCTGGAACTGACTGTTTAACGCTGGTTCGCGAAATGTCACGGAAGCAAGAGTCGCCACCGTCTTTTATTTTCTCCAAATGGAAAGGACAAAAGCACAGAAAAATTCCTTAAAGAGATTGCTCTCGGTTCGGGAAGTAGGTTATAGAAAGGGAAGGTGTTAGCACCCTTTCTATCCATGGTTATCCATGGGCTCTTAGATACTTGCTCATTTGTGTTTTCAAAAATGGTTTGTTTGCTTTTCAATTGTGGGTTTTAAAAAGTTTCTTTGAAAATTCCAGTTCGACTCTTGTATCGATCCTCAAGAGTGTTTCAAAAGTTGCTTTCGAAAGCTTTTTTGAAAAGGTGTCGGTGTGAAAAGTATTTTTGATTTGTTTTGAAATTAGAGCAAGTATCTAGAGTCGTCTACCCACCCTAAGGAATTCGTCTGTGTAAATGTCCTTTAAAGTAGTGCCATCCCACCATTGAGAGGTAGGTAGCAACACCGTTGGAGTTGTTCGGGTCAATTCGAGGTTCGGGACATGGTGATCACCGGAGCAATGGGAAGACACCTTAGAAGCTACCCTCATGCCAGGTTCCCGGATCATGAGGACTTACTAAGACATCCTCTACTCGACGATCACCTTTCGAGGCAAGGCAACAGTGAGGCGTACCCTAGGGGTGGTGTGTGATTTGTGTGTCATGTTCATTTGCATTTATCTTGTTCATGTCAAAGTGATCTATGCGTTTGTTTTTATTTTATCATTCATTCTTGCATGCATTTTATTAGCAGTTAAAAAAAAGTGCGGAAAGATAAAATCCCTAAACTATTACAAAGGCGCGGGTCCACATCGCCAAATTTAATCCAGGACCCGATTTGACAGAAAATAAAGGAAAGTGCGAGAAATTAAATTTACACGGCTTTGGGAGAAGTACATAAAAATTATAAGAAATAAAATAAAATGCGTGAATTGGAATTAAAATTGGAAGCGAGGGCGTTGAATCCTTTTTAATGAAATTAAATTAAATTATTAAATTAATTAAATAAAGATGAAAAGAAATTATTTTTGAGGGTTTTTGGCATTTATGATTTTTTATGTGAATTAAATGAAATTAAAACCCTAATTCTACAATTTTTATTTATTAAGAAAGTATTAAACTTTAACCTAAAATTAAACCTAATTAATTAATGCACTTTGATTTATGAAAATAAATAATTAATTAATCATGGTGAGGAAAAAAAGAAAAAGAATAAAAAAGGACTCAAAACCCTAATTCTACTCTTTTTTTTAATTTTATTAAGAAAATATTTGAATTAAACCTAAATTTAAATCTAATTATTTAGTGAGATTTATTTACAAAAAGGTAATATTTAAATAAAACATATTTTAATTTTTGTCTTTTCTGATTTTTTTACTATTTTTATATTTTGTGAAAATAAATTAGTTTAAAGAATTAAAGAGAAATCAATTAAAACAAATAAAATAGGAAAATATAAAAAAGAATAAAAAAGCAAACCATGGGGGGTCTGTCCCCAAATTGGAGGTAAAGTCCAGTAATTCTGGCCCATTAAGCCTTGGCCTCGTTTGACTTTTGTGCTAGCGTGTAACTTCTTTGACTCATGCCCATGGTATCCACCAGATCTAGGCCTTCAGATTGTCTCCATTGGCCAAGTGGCATGGTTGGATCAGGGGTTGTATGGTAGGCGCTGAAACTTGCACTGCATAGGATAACATTATGAAAAATATTATGGAATAGAAAGGGGGACCTGGGGCTCGAACCCAGGTCCTAGGGATTACCAACGCGTTCCTTGACCAGTGGAGCTGTTGTATCACTTTGTATATATAATAGCAAATAATCAATATAAGAATAAAGCAAGCGTTAGTGGGATTTTAGCGCGCAAATTCGAATAACCCAATCATGCCTTGACACTTCATCATCTTCTCCGTTTTGCCTTTTTCCCTGAAATATAAAAGAGGTTAACGGGGGTTTTAAACCCCCCCAAAATATGCTTGTTTTCAAAATAGCGATTAGGCCATGGTATTATATAAATTAGGCGCGAGGATTGCTTTAGAATCGTCCAAGCATGCTGAATTCAACCATGGTATTATGGTGTTCCAATTTTACAGCATTTAGAAACGCCCAATTTGAAAGCTTGGTAACCCTAACCTGTATCAATGGTGAATCCTCTAATTTGGCACAAAAACTCAATTAAAATATGCAGTTAGCTTTAGAATCAATCACTCAATGTAAAACAATAAAGAAAACACACGAAAAATGCATGAAATTCATGATTCGATTATGGAAATTTTCGTGAAAAGCTTGACTTTCATATACCAATTCTTGATGTTTCAGGCTATGGTATTGATCCAGGCACCTTCCTTGATGTCTCAGCAAGCCAATGGAACAATTATTTTTGCTTGAATCGCCCTAGAACCTAGTTTTCAGTATTTGAGTTTTTTCACAAAAATGCAAAAGTGATGATGATGTTCTTGCGCAGCTGGGAGGTCTTTTGCACTAGGGTTGGCTTCATGCTTATGTATGGAATGATTAGGGTAAACAATCTGAGCCAAAGGATCCATGAATTGATGAGAAAATATTTGATTTTCCATGCCATAATTTTCAAATCTTTTCATGCATATTTGCTACCAAATCATGTTCAATCACATGGATTCTTTCCCTATCTAATAATGCACGAAAATCTGAAGTTATCCTATGCACAAAAAGATTTGATTGACTTGCTTTGATATTTTTCACATATTTATTTAAATTAAATGAATTATTAGTCATTAAAATCCAAATAAATAAATAAAAATGATGAAAAACTTCCCTTTGGGCCAAATGGTCGTGCACATGCTTTGGATGATGAATTGTGGAAGAAAAAGAGGCCCATTAGCATTTTTAAGACATTTGAAGCAATGTTGACTTTTCAAAATATCCAAAAATTTCCCAACTTCCACAAGGCATAACTTGCTCAATTTTTAAGCTTTGCTCATGTTCTTGGACATTTTGGAAAGGTCTTTGAGTCCTCTAACCAATGACTCTGGTCCCATGTCATTTTGATTTACCAATCTCAAGTTATGGCCTTTGACT